AACGACACCAAATATTTTAACGGGGTAAAATACAATACCCGAGTAGAGCAATATTACCACTATAATATTACAACTTAGTAGTGTCAAGAGACTACTACAACTTCGAAAGAAATAATACTCTTTATTTTAAACGCCTCACTATAATATTACTCCCACTTACTATTTATCTCACAGACTACAATCTGTGGATTACTCTCTCTAACTCTCTGTTGCTTCTCTCGATTTGGTGTACTTGAAATGAAGCTGAACGCTTCTATTTATAGGAGAAGTCACCACAGCTCTAACCAATCAAAACACTGATATCTTCAATTTGCAAAATCCATCAGAAAACCAACTTTAGCAAATTGGTGTTGCAACTTGTTGTTGCCGCCCAATTCTTGTTTCAACTTCAAACTTTTTCTGTTTCTGCCATTTTTGAACAAGTTGTCATTACAACTTGTTTCTTTCTTTATTTAGGGACCCACAAATCTCTCCCTTAATTTTGAATTTTCTTTTTCATTCCAAGTCTTGATCTCAGTCTTTGGAAGTCATCAAACTTGAGAGGCTTTGTAAAGATATCCGCAGCTTGATCATGAGACTTTACATATTTCAGCTTGACTTCCTTCTTGGCAATGCATTCTCTGATGAAGTGATATCTTGTATCAATATGCTTGCTTCGATCATGATACACTGGATTCTTTGCAAGTGCCTGTGCGGATTTGTTGTCAATACAAATCTCTGTAACTTCAATTTATGGTAAATTGAGCTCCTTCACCAATCTTCTCAGCCAAATAGCATGACATGTACATGATGTTGCTGCTATATATTCAGCTTCACAAGTCGAGAGAGTAACAATTGGTTGTTTCTTTGAACTCCAAGAAATAACAGAATCACCCAAGAAAAATACAAAACCAGTTGTATTTTTTCTATCATCAATATCTCCGGCATAATCACTATCACAATACCCCATTAGGTTGAAATCATTAGAAGAAGAATAAAATAACCCAAAGTCAGTCGTACCTTTTAGGTACCGAAGAATTCTTCTAGTGACTTTCAAATGAGTAGAGGTAGCAGCTTCCATGAAGCGGCTTACTACTCCAACTGCAAATAGTATATCTGGCCTGGTACAAGTCAAGTACCTTAAACTTCCCACAAGACTTTTGAAAAATGTGGGATCCACCTTTTCTCCTTCATCAAACTTGGACAATTTTGTCCCACTCTCCATCGGTGTGTTCACGGGGTTGCAATCGAGCATGTTGAACTTCTTCAATATCTCTTTTGTATAGCTTTCTTGAGAGATAAAAATTCCATCTTCCATCTGCTTCACTTCTAGGCCCAGGTAATATGACATGAGCCCTACGTCTGTCATCTCGAACTCACGGGACATATCTTTCTTAAAAGCTTCAAACAAACTTGGGTTATTGCCCGTGAAAATAAGATCATCAACATAAAGACAAACAAGTAAGATATCTCCATTAGTATGAACTTTAAGGTAAAGAGCATATTCATGGAGACAACGAGTAAACCCATTGTCTTGAAAATACTTGTCGATGCAACTATTCCATGCTCGTGGGGCTTGCTTTAATCCATATAAAGCTTTCTTCAACCGCAACACTTTATCTTCATGGTTTTTGACCACGAAGCCCAATGGTTGTTCAACATATACTTCTTCTTCAAGATAGCCATTCAAGAAGGCTGACTTGACATCTAGTTGATGGATCTTCCATTTCATTTGTGCCGCCAAAGAGATCAGCAAACGAATCGTCTCCATGCGGGCAACAGGTGCATAGACTTCTTCATAGTCAATGCCTTGCCTTTTCTTGTAGCCTTTAGCAACAAGTCGTGCCTTGTATTTCTCCACATCTCCATCAGCATTCTTCTTTATTTTGTATACCCATTTCACTCCAATTGCTCGATGACCCTTGGGAAGAGTTGTTAACTCCCAAGTGTTGTTCTTCTCTATTGACTCAATCTCCTCCTCCATGGCTTGTCTCCACTTTTTGTTTCTAACAGCTTCATCAAAGTTCTTTGGTTCACTGTCAGCAAAGAGACAACATAAAAAATCAAAATTAGTAACTTCTTCTGTGTCCTCATAGAGCTCTTGAATACTCCTTGTCCTTTGCGGCTGTTCATTTGAACTTTCTTGAGAAGAGGGAGATGCAACATTGGTTGGAGAAGGAGGTGGAGTTATATCCTGCACAGGTTCCACGGTCTCTGGTTCTTCTTCATCACCAAAATATGGAAGAAAATCATATGAAGTTTCTTCCTGAGCTTCCCAATCCCATGCCAATTCTTCATCAAATTCAACATCGCGACTTACCACCACCTTACCACTGCTTGGGTTGTATAACTTGTATCCTTTTGAACTCGTATCATAGCCAACAAACACATGCTTGACACTTCGATCGTCAAGCTTTGCTCTCCCTTGATGTGGCACATGAGCATATGCTATGCTCCCAAAGATTCTCAAATGTTTAACACTTGGCTTTCTTCCACTCCATGCTTCTTGAGGGGTTTGATCTCTAACATTTCTTGTTGGAGACCTGTTGTTCAAATAAGCTGCACAAGAAACAGCTTCGGCCCAAAATTCCTTGGGCATACTTTTAGCTTTCAACATACAACGAGCCATATTAAGAATCGTTCGATTCTTTCTCTCTGCAACTCCATTTTGTTGGGGTGAATAAGGTACAGTTAGAGGGCAACGAATTCCATGAGACTGACAAAAGTCATTAAATTCGTTTGAAGTGAATTCGCTTCCTCTATCGGACCTTAGAGCTTTAATTTCATAGCCACTTTCATTCTCCACAAGTACTTTGAAATTTTTAAAAGCAGCAAAAGCTTCAGATTTTTGGTTCAAGAAATAAACCCAAGTCTTTCTACTAAAATCATCAATGAAGAGCAGAAAGTATTTACTTTTACCAAAGGAAGGTGGATTGATTGGTCCACACACATCAGTGTGAACAAGCTGGAGCGGCTTGGTTGATCTTGACATGGCCTCCTTTGGAAAACATCTCCTTGCATGTTTTCCAAGAAGACAAGCTTCACACAGTTGATTTGGATGGTTGATTGATGGTATCCCATGTACCATATTCTTTTCTCCCATTGTTTTGAGCATTTCAAAATTCAAGTGCCCAAATCGTATGTGCCAACACCATGATTCATCTTGCACATTAGCCTTTAAACATTTTGCATCAATTGCTTTAAAATTCAAAGAAAATAATCTATTCTTTGCCATATGCACTTTAGCAATTACAATTCCACTTGAATCTCTAAGCCAAAGATGCATATTTTTCATGTGGATGTCATATTCCTTTACAAGAAGTTGGCCCAAACTCAAAATATTACTTTTTAATTTTGGCACATAATAAACATCTTGAATTAGCTTGTGACTACCATCTTTGCAGGAGATCAAAATCGTACCTATCCCTTCAATTTGAATCTTTGAGGTATCTCCAAAGGACACATTACCTCTCACCGTTTTATTGATCTCCACAAACTTTTCTTTGTATCCACACATATGATTGCTTGCTCCATTGTCCAAATACCACGAGGTGCAATCATCCATGTCTTCTTCCTTGAGTGCCAGCAATAACGTTGACTCATCTTCTTCTTTCTTGTCGTCAACAAGGTTAGCTGTCTCTTCAACATTGCTACGACATTCCCAAGAGTAATGGCCAAATTTATGACAATTATAACACTAAATTTTTGATTTGTCATACCTTTGAAGTTGTTCCCATTACTTCTTCCTCGTCCATGACCGCCACGGCCTCGTCCTCGTCCATTCCCTCGATAGCTTTTTTCACCTCCATAATCCTTGAATGATGTCTGAGTCTTAAGAAGTTGCTCCAATGGCACTTCTTGTCTCCTCTTGGTCTTTTCTTCATGGGCCTGTAAAGAACCCTCCAATTGCTCCACCATCATTGAATCTAAATCTTTAGACTATTCAATAGCACACACCACAAAATCGAATTTAGGTGTTAAAGTGGGAATGATCTTTTCTACCACACGGACATCTTTTATGTCCTCCCCGTATCTTCTTAATTGATTCACAACAGCCTTCACTTTTGAACAATAATCCGAAATGCATTTGGATTCTTTCATTTTTAAAACTTCAAAATCAGCCCTTAGAGTTTGAAGTTTTACCTTCCTCACCTTGTCAACTCCTTGGAGAGAATTTTGTAAAATCTCCCAAGTTTCCTTTGAGGTGGTAGCATCTGCCACCTTCTCAAACATGACATCATCCAAACATTGGTGGATGAGCGTGTCTTTGCCAAGACATCCTTTTCATTTTGAGGCAAAGCTTCTTCATTATCAGGTTTTGCATACCCTCTATCTACGATTTCCCACACATCCTGGGAGCCAAGAATGGCTTTCATACGTAGACACCATTTCTCATAATTATCTTTTGTGAGACGGGGATACTGAAAAGATAGCAGACTATTATTCGCCATGGCTCTGATACCACGTTGTTGGGAATACAAAATAAATTTCCCGCCCAGGAATAATACTCACGGCAAATAATAATAACACAAGAGAGTAACAAAGACACCAACTCTTTTAACGGGGTAAAATACAATACCCGAGTGGAGAAATATTTCCACTATAATATTACAACTTAGTAGTGTCAAGAGACTACTATAACTTCGAAAGAAATAACACTATTTATTTTAAACACCTCACTACAATATTACTCACACTCACTATTTATCTCACAGACTACAATTTATGGATTACTCTCTCTACGCTCTATTGCGCTCTCTCTGATTTGGTGTGTCTGAAATGAAGAACGAAAGCTTCTATTTATAGGAAAAGTTTCCAGATTTGGCTTTCTAAAATCAGATTTGCATCTTTCCAAATCAGATTTGTCTTTTGCAAAATCCGATTTGCAAATTGCACGTTTAAGCAACTTGTTGTCTTCTTTTTCTTTTTCTTTTATTTAAATAGGTCCCACATGGAGAAGCTGTAATCAATAATAAAAGTTACAATTTTAACACCATACACCGCACGCATTACTAGTTTAAATTCTCTTCCTAATCATTCCAGACCTGCATTGCAATATTGTGGCAGCAATTTCTTGAATAATTTCCTTTTGCCATACACCGCACGCGTTACTAGTTTAATATCTCTTCCTCAGCTTAAGAGGGATTGTTAGTAAGTTATTCATTCTCCTAGCAGTATACATACCCTACGTTAGTACCAGACTTATACCATCTCATATTTGCAATTACTTCTCTTTACAAATTTTGTAGGAAGTATATTCTGCCTTAGATTCCTTATAACAATATGGCTTCCAAAACAAGAGCCACAATCGCCCTTTTTCTCTCATTGAATCTGCTTTCCTATGCACTAGTCAGTGGAACCGATTGTGGCTCTTGTCATTATAATCCTCCTAGCACCAGTAACGGTGGTGGCAATGGCCGTAACACTGGTGGCTCGAGCAATGGTGGTGGCTCCGGCAACGGAGGTGGTGGTTCGGGCAATGGTGGTGGAGGTGGCAATGGGCAAGGCAGGTGCCCGAGGGATGCTCTGAAGTTGGGGGTATGTGCTAATTTAGTTGGTGGATTGGTGGGAGCGATAGTGGGTTCTCCTCCAACTTTGCCATGCTGCAGCTTGATCGCGGGGCTGACGGATCTAGAGGCGGCAGTTTGCTTGTGCACAGCCATAAGGGCAAATGTGCTGGGAATAAATCTGGATGTGCCACTCTCTCTTAGCCTCGTTCTCAACAATTGCGGTAGGAATCCTCCTACTGGCTTCACTTGCTAAGCCGAAGTACCCGACTAATTTTATTAATCCCTATTCTGCTTTTGTTATGTCGGTCATTATATGGCGTTTGCATGAATTATTTTTATATCACTTTGTCAATTGTATTATGCTAACGGTTGATTTTATATACGTATACTTGAAGGTTTATTAATATATGTACTCTCGTTTTGTTTCAGAAACATCTTTGCGGATTTTGTTTGACTTGTCCAGGGTCTTAAGACTATGGTTGGTTATGAATGATTTCGGCAGAAGAGAAAAAAAGAAAAGAAAAGGGAAACGCCAATAAGGAAAGAAAATAAGAACTTAACTGGATCTCTCAAGACTTGTAAGATAAATTTGTCTGCAAACCCCTGGTGATAAGTAAAGTGTGCAAATTATTTTGTGATAAAGTTACGTCCATATAAATCAACTTTGTAATTTTTATTAGTTTTTTGTACGACAATGTTGCTAAAGAAACGCATAATACTATACTTTTTATTGTATATATCAAATGGGAAATTTCGAAACTAAAGAAAAAATGGAGGGTGTCTAGATATGAGTCCGGAACCTAAATGTGGTTCTTTTGGACTCAAAATACTTTTTTAAGTGTTAAAAAAAAAGTTACATAACCGCATTTTATATAGAGCGCGGTAATGAACTGCGTTTTACATGTTTAGTGGGCCCACCAATAACTTTTCTGCGCTTAACTGACATAACAATAATTCAAATATGTAAAACACCCTTTTAAACCACGTTTTACTTCCAAAAGTTTGCCCCCCGGATTGGGCGTTGCCTTATATAAAGATGTTAAGGGTTTTGAGAATTGTCATTCAGAAATACTCCAACTTCGTGATAAATTTTTCTTGTTGTTAAATTCTCTAGCTTTTTTCATAATGTCTGAAGAGCGAAAAGTAAGGGTTTCATTATATTAGGGGGTGAGGTTGTGGTGGCGGATAACTCAGTGAGCTATAGTTTATCTCCACAGAGTCATGTTAAGTTGCCACTTACAATGGAGTACGATTGACTGGTATCATTGTTATGCAATTTCATGAGATTGAGCAAACGTTCGGTGAATCTTAAAAAAACCGGAAGATATCTGTATTCTATGACTCAGCAAGGGTTTACTTGTTATGCTGAGTTTAACATCGAAGACGATGAAACTCTAAGAGATTTTTTGGGGACTCCGGATGAATACATGGAATTTATTGTGATAAAATTATTGAAAATGTACGTCAAAGATGAAGACGTTCGCAATAATGAGGTTGCGCAAAGCAGGGATAACCCTCAATCATCGGGTTGTTGTTCTGGAGTAGTTTTAGCCCAACAGGTTCCGGCTGAAAGAGTTTGGCCGGATCTAAATTTATCTCTGCGGGCGAACGAGGAGAGAGGAAATAATTTCTCTCCTACTTTACATAATCCACAAGACGACTGGTAAACTTCAATTTTCCTTTGTGTTACGATGTTTATTTTTTGTTGAATTGAATTTGTATTAACACTCATATATTCCACAGGGGGTACTGTTTGGATATGAATTTTACAAGTTATGACCCCACGCCCAGTTGGAATATGCGTAGTTTTGGCGTGTTGGATCACGGTGGTCCATCCGGGAGTCATCACCAACAGGAAAATGTCCATCATGGAATGTCAACACAGTACTGTCACGCCTCAAACCTGGGGAGGCGTGGCTGGCACCCGATGTCGTGCTGGTCTGAGCGAACCACCCTGTAACTCATGATCGTTCGACCAAAACTAGAATATACATAGGTCGAGTTAGCTGGACTCGTTCCTTTTGTTACTATCATGGGCCCACATGCCCACAACTCATAATGTACAACTGCAAGTGGAAAAAAAATACTGTATCACTAAACCTTTTTTCTTAAAACATGAATACATATGGGTTGTCAAGGCCTCTGATATACTGTAGAAAATGAACCTTTGTCTACAAATCCTCTAAGATTATTTGACATCAAATGGGACAGGGTACCGGCCTACCCATAAGTCTGTCGCAAAACTATGACACGATGACTTATAGACTCGGCTGCACTCCGAATGAGGTGGAGTCTTACTGATCCTTCGCTGAATGCCAATCTCATCTACTATGAGGGCTCGTCAAACTGATTATCTATACCTGCATGCATGAATGCAGCGTCCCCAACAAAAGGACGTCAGTACGAATAATGTACTGAGTATGTAAGCCAGAACTGAAACCTAACCATAGTTCAACATTAATTAAGGACATGGAAGAAACATGAAGTAAAGGATTCAACCTGTAAGTCTGGATAGCTCTATAAATTATGAAATATTTATAGTATCATGCATATGCGTATAAATGTCATGTAATGCATAGGTCTGTACGTACATAACATCATAAAGCCTCTGAGGGCATCCCATCATATCATCTTAGCCACTGTGGGCAAAATCATCATCGTATACTAGCTGATCAGGTGGTGGTGCGTATATAACGCCGTAACCTTTTCCCATATCCCATATACATATAACATACATATATACGCGTATATAACGCCGTCTGAGTCATGGGTAAATGCACATGTAAATGAATCCAATGCTTGAGAAGTGCGTTAATAAAATCTCTCGGAATGTCATAAGACCATTATACCTCTGATTAATATCATGAAGTAAACTTTTATCAACTTACGTATTTTCTGAGACCCATGAACAAACGATCAACTAATAAGACAAATGGGGAGTCAACAACATAGGAACCTCTAGTATTTCTATGAATAGAGTCATTTGAAGTTGTGCATTTGCTCGTTTCGTTTATATCGTATGGATCATGCCAAAAAGAAAGAACGGATGGCCTTAACATACCTGGATTAGAGAAACATCCGTAAAATAGAGATCTTCCACCTTTTCCTATAGAATTTTTACTCCCACCTCGTTTTTTTGGGCATTTCTCATGTGAGAAGACAACAAAGTGAGTTCAAACAGGCTCAATGTCGTTCATTTACTTGAGGGATTTCCGGCTTTCATGATTTCCCCTAAGAATTGTGATTCTGTCTCTATAACGGACTTTGAGAGCAACCAAAAGTGTGACAGTCTCCACTGAATAGCATCCACGATCTTTGGTGAGCATTCATCAGCTACCTTTAGTTGTTAATCGGACAAGAAAGGGAAATGAAAGTTAGTCACTTCTTCTCCATCAACATTCAGACTGGTCTTGAGTTGAAATGGAATGGTAATATCTCGCTTTAATTTTGATTCCCATACTTATACTTCATAACCAAACATTTCTCTACATGCCACCTAGACTAATGACTTAAAGAGTCATTCATAGGATTAGAGGTGGTGCTGCCACGTGGGGGTGAGGAAATTTTTTAATCTTTATCCAACTTATTATTTAATTAGATAATGTAATTAACCAATTACCCGCATAATTTAGAATTGACTCAAATTACTTAAATTTTACTTATTTTTAAATACTTTATATAACTTACTATCATGGTCATGTGATACCATATAAAATTAATACATACACTATTGTTTTATTAAAATATCCATGTAAAAATACATATATATATCTCTACTAATTAATGTATGTTCTACTCTCCTTTAAATTCTCCTATGTCCGTTCTTAATTACCTTTAATTAAAGTTATATAAACTACTTAATTTGCTTGATACTTTGTTATTGAGAATTATACAAGAAATTAATGATAAGTAAATTTAAGAAAGCCACTTCTAAACTGAACGTTATGTTCCCCGGTAAGAATTAGGACGTAAGGGAAGCTGGCATTCCCTTTCATTTTGTCTATTTTCATTAGATTTAACTTCATTTTTTTTATTGTTGTCATTTCTTAACTTATAATTTTCCTAATCTCATATAAAGAGTACAAATTTTCGTATACTTAATTCTTAAAATAGTAAAAAAAAAAAAAAAACACAAAACAACATACAACATATTCAAAACAACTAATATGTATTATTTATACGAGTTTGGACATAAACTAAATCGGAATACCTCGATTTATCTTTTTCGGAAAGTTGAAGATTTGAAAATTTGGTCCCGAAACAAGCAACCCACAACAATAGAAGGCTTGGCTAGGATGTGTGACCAACAATATCTACTTTTTACGGGATGAGTGGGGTCCACACGAGCTTTTTGGGTCGTTAATGAAGGGGGGACCACTGTTATTTTTTTAAGAGAAGCGGGGGAACGGTGGGGGGGGGGGGGGGTATGTCCCAGAACGTGGGCGAAAAGGAAGTGGATCTAATATTTATATATATAAAACGCGGTTCATTACCGCGCTTTATATAAAATGCGGTAATACACCGCGTTTCATATACTTGTCTTTTCAGCTATTATGTAAAACGCGGTTCATTACCGCGTTCTATATAAAACGCATTTGAGTTCAAAAGAACCACATTTATGTTCCGGACTCGTCTAGATATACGGTGACCGTAGGGTATGTAGATTGTCTGCTGACTTTAAGGACAAAACTTCGCAAAATTTCAAGTTTGAACAACAGTAATATTCTAGCTACTTTATTTGATTGATTAAAACAAGTTGTACTCCTTCCTTCTTATGAAAAGGACTATGCTCACAAAAGAAGAGTGAATATAAAAGAGAAATAGGAAAAAGATGGTGCGATCATGAGCTCTCTCTTTTAGAACCAAACCAACTTTTAGCCGGGTTTTACTCCAAATCCTCATATGATAAAATAAATTCAGATTTATATAGCCTGGTTCTTGATGGAATTTGATCCTAGAAGTTTGATATGATCAGGATTCTTCAATTGAGGACTGTGAATCAACAAAGCTCCTAAATCATGTCCATACATATTAAAGTTCTCTACCTTAACCTTACTGACGGAAAAAATAACTTTCCAATTTTTTTTTTAGTAAACAGAAAATATATATATTAATAACTAAGTAGCGTTCAGTACATGACTTGCATACTTGGTGTCACTAAGGACACTTTGATTTCCCGAGCTTTCTAGGGTATTGCAAGCTTCATAAGATAGAAATTTCACAAAAACATAGTCTTCTACTAGTTCACTTTCCACAATACTTTTCACATAAGATGGTGGTTCAACAAAAGTTTTTTTCCCCTTCGTTTGATCAACAGCCTTCTTTGCCATTTGATGAGCTATACTATTCCCTTTCCTGAATGCGTGTTGGAGGGTTATCTCTTTCTGCTGGTGCATTAACAAACTGCATTTATTAACAATGTCATCATATAATCTATTGCCTTGTTAGATTGATTGGATTACCTCCATGGAGTCTGTCTCTATCTCGAGAGGGAACATTCCTCAATCTTGTGTTGTTTTGAGTTCCTCTAGTAGAGCCTTGATTTCTGTTTGTAATTAGCATGGGATGATTTTCCAAAGCCCACTACCCAATGTCCATTGGCATTACTGAATACACCTCCCAGGCCATATTTTTGTGTATTACTATTAAAAC